AAAAGAAGAAGACAAAGGCAATTTAAGTAACTGCACACTTACTTTGAAACGATAGATAATAGACATACTTTTCTGTGCATTTAAGGGCTGAGGGCTTTGTCTCTGCAGTGGCATTCACAAGAATTTTATGTTCTGTGTTTTAAGTGCCACTAGAAGTGGCACTTGGGAAAGGAAATTTCCCAGATGCCCAGACTACGCTGTGGTCTCTTGGAACATCTGGAGAGAACACAAAAGGAAAAAGCGCATTCAGACCTTTTGTTTGGGGCAAGGGAGAATGCATTTCTTTATGGCCCAGGGAAATGGACGTTGCCTTTGATAATTTCTACCGATCACAGATCCTGTATCCACCTCCTGGTCTTTGGCATTTTCCCTTTCTTCTACACCAAGACACTTAGCAAACAGGTTTCAGTGGTGGCTGTGCAAATGAGGGCTGGGGACTGTGAGGGAAGCCAGGCTGGGATGCCTGAAGCACAGACACGGAAAACAAGGGTTGGAGCACAAAGAAATCATTGAGAAACTCTGCAAGTTGGAAATTCAAGAAAGGGACCCCACAAATGCTCCAGCTTGACCCATGCTCCCTCTTTTTAGGTGAGCCGCCCAGCACACCGTTCTGGAAGAGCAGGGCCTTATTCTAACGCCAGGAGAGGGGTGCTGAGAAAACAGGGTCAGGAGGTCAGAGGACAGGGGCCAATTTGTACTCGATTGCCCAACAGAGAAAACACACAGGCACCAGGAACTCAGATCACAGATAATTGCTGAAGGAATGCCAGCCTGCCAAGTCTTTCTTCAACAGTTACCCCCGGAGGAACACGGACAGGTAAATTACCTATGATTGGATTTATTAGAGCTATTTTTAGAAAAATGTCAGAGGTTAATTCCTCTGCAATTATTCCCCTGCAGGGCTCCCACAATTGCTACAGAGAGTGGGAATAAGTTAAAAAAAGAAAAAAAGGGCAGGGGACTTCCGACGATGGCCTTTGATGGAGGAACATTTTGAAGATTATGTCCATGTGAGGAAAGCGAAGGAGAGACAGTGAACTGGAAAACTGAGGCCGTTACCTCTGAATAATTCCAATCTCAAATCTCACTTGAATATCATCTTTTCGGGATTGCCTTGGTATGCCTGATTTATTCAGGTAAGTAGTGTAAAAATTCTCCACGTGGCATATAACCAAGCTCTTTGCCAAAAGGAAAATGCTTCTAATGGTCATTCTTTGTGCAGAAGGAAAAAGAGTGAAGCACAAGCCATGCTTATTTTTCAAGGTAGGCACAGTGGAAAGAACAATTCATGATTTCTTGTTGGGGACTCTTAGATGACTGACCATAGCAAATTCAAAGCTCGCCAGGGCCACTAGGTAGTAGGGAGTGAAGGAAACCCGGTGAAGTAGAAAGCGTGTGTCCCCTCTTCGGGGACGAGTGGCTCCTCAACGTAAGCCAGCTGTGGCCATAAACTATTACATGCATTACCAGATATTCTGATATTTTTTAAAAGAAGATGGAAATCCAGATTTTTACGCAAAGTCTCTTAAGTTTTATAGACTGGCAACTACTTTTTTTTCAATGCCATGATGTTAAATATATATANAAATACACTCAGGGATTAATAACTTCTACTCAGTTTGCCAAACTCACAGGACGGCACATTGAGTTTCCTGAAATGTGTTCCCAGAATAACATTCAGTGAATCTTAAGACAGGAAGTCACATTCCAAAAGCACCTGGAAATAATCTGTGTTAGTTGAAAACTGCAGATAACGGGTCTCACATAAATTTGGTCATAAATTTGTTGTTTTTAAAACGAGTAACTACTAATGACTGAGGGCCTACTCTGTGCCATGCACTCTGCTAGGTATCTGGCAAATATTGTTTCTAAGTTTTTTGACAACCCGCAAGGTAAAAAGGAAAACTGGGTCTAAAAGAGACAGAAATATAAGTCCTGGCTAGCTGCATCTCTGAAAATACCAAACAGGAGACGTCACCTCCACGTACCATTAGTAGACAGGAGGAAGTAGGCTGCGTTCTGCTGAGGGAGCCATCTTATTTTATTGATTTTTTCTTCTATTTCTAAACTCTTCAGGTAATCGAACTCAGGTTCATGGCTCTGGAATGTGCTGTAAACATTGTATTCGCCCCTACGATGAACCTGATTTTTACTCTGTAGGAAGGGAAAAAACCAAAAACAAAGATTAAATCCTTTGAGCAACCTGTGAATTCATCAAGTCCTTCTTTTTTGGAGCATAGTCATTAGGCGTGGGTTGGGCGGGCCATGTCAGGGTGGGATGAGGGCAGGACCATGACAGCCACAAGCACTACCTTAGCTTAGTGGCCTCCAAATTATCTGATCATGTACCCAAGTTGGTAAATATCAGCACCTCTAATATACATATATTTATTTATAAATCATATACATGAAATTTTGCACTAATATATGAGTGCATTAAGTATATAGAGAAATAGAAGTTAAAATAGGGCATGATATGAAAATCAAATTTTTAAAATCAATATAAATAGAAGGTCTAATATTTTCTTTCTGCATCCTAATGGGTGGCTTAGACATTCTTTGGAGTAAGTCATCCCACGCTGACGTCCATATATACTCATATCAATCCCGTACAAAGAGGAGAAAGCTATATAGTATCTGTATCAATCATTGATATTTTAAAATCGCACCAGATTCTCACAGAATCTCTGTGAGGTAGGCAGAGCAGAGAAATGAACAAAGGCGGCTCAGAGATATTAAAATGACTTCTCCAAGGTCACACAGCTTCTAAGTAGCAGATGTGGGCATCAGATCTTTCCCCCACCCCCACCACTCCCTGTTGTCCCTAACATGGGTAACAAAACAGACAGGAGCACAGAGATGACATCTGTGTCCCTGGGAGATGATGAGACTTTACCCCTGGTTTTTCCNCGTATAGAGTGTTTAACACAGTGTCGGGCTTCTAATAATGGTTCACAAATGGAGCTGTTATTAGAATGAGCAAATTGGGCAACTATCCTGCAATAATGACATGTTGCTCCGACAGCGTTGGCATCACTCATGGTGATGTCTGCACATATCATTTCCTCTCTGGAAGGCTGTCGGGACAGAAGCCGCCCCGCTACCCTGTCTTTCTTTTTGGCCCCCTCCTCTCACTCCTCCGCCTCTCCTCACCAAAAGCCTTGTCCTCAGAGGTCTGAAATGCACCACATTGTGAAGTGGGTTTTTAGCAACAATTTGGATAATTTACCAGGTCAGTGCCCCTGTTTCCTAGTGTCTGGGGATCACTTGGGCCGGTCATGTCTGCTGGCACAGCTGGCAAGGCTGCTAGGTGTAAGAGTTATGCACTCACCCTGACTTGTACTGGGACAGATGGCAAGGGATCCCTTCTCAGATGCTGGGTTGACTTTAGAACTTCCTACCTAGATGCCAGCACTCCTCTGGTCCTACCCTCTCTGGATATCCTGCTACGTGCTGAACTGTTTTTTAGGGTGACAGAATGAAATGTGGGCCATGGTTATACAGTCACTTGATTAGCTGCTGATCACTGTGACTTAGAAGAATCCAAATCGGTTAATTTTAACATCAAATATTTTCCATTGCTTGGCTTTGGAATATATCCCATCCTATTTGCAAGGCAATTCTCTTCCTATATTTTTCTTATGAATGATAAATGGCTATGCAGAGAAGTAGAGGAGTCATAGTGAAAGGATAGAATAAAAATTACCTATAATCCCTCCAGTCAAGGACAATCATTGTTAACATTTTGCATTGATCCTCATAGTATTTTTTCTATGCAGTTTTTTGGGGCAAACCTATAATAACATTGCATCTAAAGATTTTGTATTTTCTCATTTTATTTCCTTCTTTCTATTATAAAATGGTACATATAATTGTAAAAAATGTAAATAAGCATAAAAGTAAAAAAAATAAAAATTAAACTCTCCCTCAATTCCACAAGACAGAGATAACTATTAGGAAAATTTTATGTATGTCCTTTCATTATATTTGTGTGCAATCATGTAACTGTTTTTAATAGACATAATATGCAACACATAGTTTATTAATGTTTTTTCCCTAATCATATCTATTTCAACATTTATTCCTATAAATATATAGTTTATAATAGTGAGAACTTAATAATCAAAGTTCTAATAATGGGAGGTATATTGTGAACTATAGATGAATCATACAAGGGAATGTTATACAGTCATTGAAAAAGTTACAGTTTTTAGAAGAATATTTAACAATTAGAAATATATTCCTGTTATTAAGTTTTATATTATTAAAGAAAAAATTTTGGTTTATAGACTATATCACATTTTTGTTATGAAAAAAGATGTATCCATGGTTCTTTGCTTTTTTCCTTTAAAAGATATTAACAGTGGTTCTCTCTGAATGGGAATACTTTTATTATCTTCATTGTGTGTCTCTACTTTCCAATTTTTTTTTTTACAATGAATACATAAACTACTTTTATAGCATGAATACCAAACCAAACAAACCTTCCCTTCTCATCATAGATATTAGAAAACTAGGTAAAGCAATGTGTTTTCACCTGGGAAATAATTTCAAGGTCTAGATTCACAATTGAACGTTGGTTTTACTTTTCATTAAAAATCATAAAGTTGGAAATATATTCTAGCAGAAAGTAAAAACTATACCAAACTATAATGAGATGAGCACAATTTTTTTTTTAAAGATAATTGATGGCGAATTCAATTCAATTCCCCATGGTTGGGTTGCCTGGAGTCATTCTTGACTTTATTATCACACAATTTTTCTTGACTCCGTATCTTGAAGCTTTGTGGATAAAAAAGTCTGAGGAACATGTGGCTGCTACTATGAGTAATGACTTCTTCTATCTCTTGGCTGGCTCTCTGAGTAGTTTATCATTACTTGTGGCAGTTTTTAAACACAATCTTATCATCTATCTTCATTTTCTCTTTTGTACAATAATTCCAATTGTCTTCCATTAATTTTTGCATGTTAGCCTATTTGGCTTAAGGGGATTCTCAACCTCAATGTTAGTATAAAAAAGAAAATCACATAAGAACATGGAAATTTTTCTTATAAGAATCATTTTGAGATGCTGTTGGCATATGAAATGGCATCTCAAATGGGAAGATAATATCTTCGTTAATCAAAAAACTGTTTAAAAACTCAATTAACAGAACATTATGCTATATAATCAATCTTCATTGCATTTCACTGATTTCTTTCCCATCCCCCCATGAAGGAGTTAATACATCTTTGAATGTTATTGTAATAATCAATAGGCTAAATTTCATAATATAAAGTAAGCTAGCTATAGCAGAGCATCAGACACGTTTCCTCTGCCTGTAAGTAATTAAGTCAAAATCATCAGAAGTCTCTTTTCTTCTACGTAGTGTTGCATCTGCAGAGCCTTTGAGTAA